TCTCTGCATCCAGGAACAGATTCTTAGCAGCCATGATAAAAGACAGTTAACTCTTTCCTGGCTGAATCCAGCACACATGAGCAAATAAAGTCTCTCTCTCAACATATCTATCTCTGGAAAATAATTTGTATCTGTCCAAAGAATCATGGAAACACTACAGTGACACTACCTGTTCCTTGCAAGAAGTACCCTTCTCAGAATGTTTCCTTTGCTGTTTGTGCTTACTATATGAAGTCAAGAACTAACACAGCAGACTGCAAGTTTATCTGAGTCTCATAGGATGCAACTTTTAGCCTTTCTGGAAGGCTATCTAGTGGTGAAAGAGGGCAAGGGACACCTTGGCCTTTCTGCAAAGCTTAAATTATAACTTTATCTAGAGTACTATAGACAGTTTTTCACCAAAACCCCCAAAAAAAGTCAAACCAAACCAAAATCAGCCAACCCCAAAAACCCCAAGATATCCCTGCACCGCTATATTTACCTTCAGGTACAGATTCAGCCCATCTTGGATCAGAGGCAGGGTAATCATCAATTAAGTCCACGCTGATCTGAGTCACTGCCCTATCCAGTTCACTGTCAGAATTCAGATCTGCACTGCTTGGAAAGAGCTCAACTACCATGCTTTGAGCACCCTCTATACCTTTCCTGAAATAAAAGAAATACAAAGTATGTGAAATAAAAACAATAGGTAGGATTAGGGGTCCAAGAACTACTCAATTAGTAGGATTTTCTGATAAGCTTTTTGTAAAGTGCTTTAGATTATAAGCATCAAGCACTGTTTGCGCTACGTTTAAATCTTTAATTAATCTTTAATCTTTTATCTTTAATTATGGATAAAAGGCATTTTGATTCTATGAATAAAAGGTATTCCAATTCTTTTAAAACAAGTAGGCTGCACAATATGTAAACCAGAAAAGCACAAGCCAGGAAGTGTTTCAATTTAATTGTATTAACTCCCCCCCTCCCCCCCTTTTTTTTTTTTTTTTTTTTTTAAGAAAAGGAGGTTCATCATACAGAGCTAGGTGTCTGGTAGTTAAGTCACTTAATTTCTGTTGCTTGCTTTAAAACCCTCCCCAAGAGGACACATAATCACTCTCACAAGTGGCTACAGAGTAAAAGCTCTCAGGAAAATGCTTCAGCAAATATAATGCATTATTCTTATTTCCTGTAATTTCAGAGAATCCTATTCTATTCAGGTCAATAAGTAAAAACAAGTAGGATGCATCCAGATGCTTAAACCTCCAATGTATGAAGTTGCACTGAAGCACTCTATGTAAGAGGTGTGCAGCATTCACCAAAAAGCACTAATTTGATTTTGTGACTAAAAATTACAGTATTCTGACTGAGAAGGGATACTGTGATTGCAATATATAAACTGGATTTGGAAACATTTATCGTGACACTTTGAATGTTTATATGATCAAGATCTCTTGAAATGACAAACAGCAGTGCATCCAGAAATTGCACAAAGCTTTACTGAAGCAAACTATACTTTTGAAAACTGGAATATACTGAGTCTTCTATTAAACAACCCTCCATTATTTGCTCTGCATCAACTGCTTGGCCATCTGGACAGGCCATGGCTACGTCTGTTCTGTGGAAAGTGTCTCCATTTTATCATACTACTTTTCTGGAAAAAGTCTGAATCGATACTATACACGTCAAATTAATTTGGTCTTGTTTCATAAATATAGCCCAATTTTTTCCTCAAAATAACATTCAACTTTCATACTGTTCACCTTACTTCCTCCCACTTTCTTCTGACCCTGTTCACATCCTCAGCGATATCACCTTTTACATTTGTTATCTTTGCTCTCAGACCTTTGCTACTCCAGTCACCTCAGGACTACCGCGACCTTCAGCAGCAGTTCTGTTTACTGACATGTCCACTTGTGAACACATGTGGGCTTTCTCTCTAAATTCTGTGCATGTTTACAGATACTGTCTTGGTATCTTTTATTATATGCGCCTAATTCCCTTCATAATCCTCTACCTCACATGCAGCTCTATGTCAAAAGCAGTCCTACTTCCCATTATCCTAAATGTGTTCATTCCAAGCTTTAAGGTTCTTAAAGGAAATTAGTCCTAAGAGGGTTTGTGAGTTGTTTTTTTGTTTCTTTAATAAATACATTTTGAAAACAATCCTCTCCAAATATAATTCATCTAAGTCTACAGCTCTGTTTATCTTCTTATCCCTCCTCTTCCTCCCTTGTTTATGTCACTCATCACAAGAACAAACTTTTCCAAGGCACTGCATGCCTGCCAACAGTCACGTTGCTTTAATCAGCATAGTTTGATGAAAACTTATTTCCTTCCAATCCCACTCCCCCCATATCAGTCAATCTGAAAAAAAAAAAAAACAAACCAAACTATCACCTTGCCACAGAACCTGCCATGCCAGTTATTCTTCATGGCCACATAAAGAGTAATTAAACATATTTAGAAGTATTACTGAAAACAGCTATGCAAAAAAACAAACAAACAAACAAAAACAGAAAAGGAAGTAAAGAATGTTTTTCAACAACAAAACATCACTTACTAAAAGAATAAAGAAGTCAAAATAACAAAGTTTAAAAAGCTGTTTCACTGGCAGTAATGTACCACCACAGAATTTATGCAGAGTAAGTGAAAAATCCTTGAGATTACAGAAGCCTGCTCCTTTCTAGCACGTATCGCTTCCTCACCAGCTCAAGATGCATCTAACACTTTCCTAATAAAGATGTTCATGTGTCACTAAAATAGCTTTAATTAAAAGAGCACAAGAGTATCTTTACCAAAACTGTCTCTTACTCAAACACGAGTGCCTTCAAGAACAGCAAACAAACATAGCCTCAAAAATCAAAAGCAATTCTTACCTGCAGTACTGTAGAAAAGCAGCTTTCAGTAGTTTAGTCTTATCTTCTTGAGCTACAATTTCTAGCCTACTGGTAGCCTCAAACGCAGGACTCTGAAAATGCAAAGTAAAATATCCAGCTGAAAGAGAAGTATCAACCTCCATTATGGAATGAAACCAATTTTTCTATGGAGCAACAGCAGAGATTTGAAATTAAATGCCACCTGGCAGCCGTTGTGTCTATTAAGCCAACCCTAAGCCCCTAAGATACATTACAGTGAAAGTCACACAGCGGTTTGGCCTCAGGCATTTTAATAAACGTCACACAAACTGCAGAGGAACTTACACCAACTGATGTCACCTGTCAAACCTATGGCAGTTTTACTGAATGTCTGTAACATTCAAAACCAACGTTTTGTAAAAGAAGTTCAAAGGTACTTATGAGTGTTCTCACCCACAAGAACAGGTAAGTGCAGACAACTCAACTAGAGTTTAGAGTTTGGTAAGAAAAATACAGTTCCATCTGAGCAATCACCAAAAAAATCTTCCACCGAAATACTCTTTAATAATAACTGATTTTAAAGGTGATTTAATTGGAATAAGATTGAAACTTGTACTACCCCACAGAAATCTTCTCTAATTCAGAGAGACCTTTCTATTCTTCCCTCCCACTTCAGGGACATCTCCAGAGCACATGCACAAACAAAACATGTTTGATGTAAATAAGAGCTTAATAAGAGCATGTTGCACAGAACATCAATAAAAACACTTGAATATTTTTATAAGACTATATTAGTATGCATATTTAACAGAGCAGAATCAATATTCAGGCACTATACAGCCTGTCTCAGCTTAGCTTTCAAGCTTATCACAGCGTGGTAAGAAAATATTCTCTGACACACACGAAGGAAAAGACAGAAAAGACTGAAGAAACCATTCTGATCAAAAAGTGAGAACAAAGCCAGAGTCTCTGCCACAGTGTAAGATCAGGCCTAGTGACATATAGCATTAACATCCATGTGGGGGAAAAAAAAAAAGTCATAGAAATTTTGACTTTAAAAAAACAAAAAAAGAAAACAAAAAAGTTACCCAAACTGGCAGATGTTGTAAAATTCCTTGGGTTTTGAAAATTGCCTTCATTACAGGCATTTGAATCTCAAAAAAAACAACCAAACAAAAAACCCAAAAAAAACACCACAAAAAAAACACCAAACCAAAACACCTTTAACACACAAACAAGCTAGAATTTCCACAGTGAAAATTCAAACTGCCAGAAAAGCACGTTAGTTCTACCCTCAGTTTTCAAGCAGCCAAGCAAACAACCGTTACCTCACTTCTTGGTCCAGCAAGAGAAGAGGACCGGGAATCTTCAAGGTCTTCGGGAAGCACAGAAATGTTTTCACTGGATAAGATGGTGATAAGTCCACTTTTTTTGGTAAAGAAGATGGGGAGGCTAGTACAGGAACCTGCTCCTAAAATGCTATCTCCTAAGGTAAGGGGAGAGAGGTGAGGAAACAAACAAAAAAAAAGCACATAAAAGCCACTTTAAGAACAAAATGTAAGAGGTTCATGGACAGTTACTAAATTTTGTCATGAAGCAACCAACAGTAATTGGTAACTGCACCTGGCTTACAAAAATTGTGGGTACCATTTGCTACTTAAGATGCAGATTTCCAGATACTACAAGTTTAAAGAAAAAAAAACAAGGGAAAAAATCATCAAGATTCAGGTGGTTCAAATTTCACCTAAGGACCAGTGTGCGCATTCTACTTGAAAACACCCCCGAAGGCCAAGGATGACGTACTTTGGGTCATCTGACACAGGCACCAAGTATGAATTTTAGGCTGAGCCTTGACACGAAGTCAATTTCGGGGGGGGAGGGCACGGAAAAATCACAGACAGAATCCCCACCCTTTCATATACCAAGAATGGGATTCTACTTAATTATCATCCAAAACACTGCAAAGTAAGCAGTGGGTGTCATGTCAGTACTTTTTTCCATACTCTCACAAGAAACTCTCAACTTGAAAAGATTTAATAAAGAGATAAATGACTGTAAATATGATTCTGCTCCCCGAAAAATCTAAATATTGTGAAAACATTCAATTAGAAAGTATCAACAAGATGCAATTTCTATTTCCCTGCACGTTACCTTGTATGCCAAATATGATTTTCTCCTGTGGCAAGGAAATTCTTCCAGTTCCAGTGGAACAAGCAAACACTTCATCTTCCTTATAGAGGTAAGCAGCATGGCTGAAGTAATCTGGGACTACAAGGCAGCACAACACTTCCTCTTCTGACTGAAAGTGTTACATACAGACAATCTCATACATACTACCAAAACCTTAAACATTCTAACATGTAAAGGTTGATCTGAGTTGCCTAAATTTGTTTTAATTTTTAACAAGAACAGATGGATATGACTCATCACCTAAAAACCCAAACAAAACTTAGAGAAGCTGTGGATGCCTCATCCCTGGATGATCTTCAAGGCCAGGCTGGATGAGGCTTTGAGCAACCTGGTCTAGTGCAAGGTGTCCCTGCCCATGGCAGGGGGGTTGGAACTAGATGATCTTTAAAGTCCCTTCCAACCCAAACCATTCTATGATTCTAAAACCACTTTTAATTTGCCATAAAATCTAAGACTCTGGAGGTTTGGGGTTTTTTTGTGTCCATATATACTGTAATATATTAAATTCTTGCTAATTTCACACGGAGAGATAAGTAAACAGATATTTATTCCACAGTTTTCACACTCTCTGTCTTAAGATTCAGTTTTAGGATGCTGTTACTGGCAGGGGGGAGAGGGGGAAGAGTGAAAGAAGTTTACCAAAGGAAGTTAATACCCAAGTTTAGGCTTCCAGAAGAGACAGCGCAAATGAGGTACACTAAGGACAACCAACATGTCCTCCCTCCCCTCCCAGCAAGCCAGCTGTCCAGCAAGGACCAAAATACAGGTCTCTAAATTCCCTGACATGCTACAAGAGTCTCAGCGGAGCCCAAGATCTGTTCTGGATGGATTGCATGAGAATACAACAAAATCACTCTGTAAAAACTTTCACAGACAGGACAGAAAGTAAAATTAATCAGTAATAATTAGATACTTAGACTTCTATTTTTGAAGCTTTTTTATCTTCTACTTTACAATGTAAAGCATAAACCTTACATACTGTTAAACATTAAAAGATGGCAGTACACATTTTCCTCAGAACCTTAAAGACAGAGAACTTGGTTTTCCTTTAGACAAAAACCTGACAGCTGATTTATGTAGCGGAATATTCTGAAACATTGTGCTTTCTTAAATCAGTTCCAGAGCCTTCACTTGCATACCTGAAAAGATGGATTATACTGTGTGACCTCCACAACAACGTCATCAGAAATCTGGTAGCCTTTATCTTGTACTGTTATCAGAGTGTAGTAGACAAGACATGGACTATCTCCAGGATGCCACGCTGCAGCAAGTATCACCAGTCCATCACTATTTAACAACAGACACCACACTGATTATTACATATTTTACTTGCTCAAACTCTACCACTCACAAAAACAGATGTTTAAGTACAATCACAAATAAGTATTTTCCAATATCAGGGCTTTTTTTTTTTTTTTTTAGAAAGACAGACTATACTATATTAACAGTATTCATACTGCTGTATAAAAACTGAACCAGGGAAGTTACGATTTTATGTAATTAGATTAATTACAGGAGATACTGAATTCTCTGCATTTGCTGGAAAAAGTTACAATTGCTTACTTGCTATTTTGTCTTGATATTACAAATACAAGTGCCCAAACCTGATTTAGGAATGACACTAAAAAAAGTGAAAGGAATTATTGTTTAGTAACGAATTTGTAATGCTAGAGAGATAATGACAGCATGAAGGATGACCTAATATGACTCGGTTATTTTATCAACTGTGACACTAGAGTAGAATTAAACTGCCATTACTTACATGAAGTTTTTGCAAGAAAACAGAACACATTTATCTCATTAATGTAAGTCTTACCAGATATAAGTGTACTTCCTTACCGATTCTGTTGCAAATCCATGTACCGTATATTTACTCCTCCTTTAATATCTTCATAGTTACTTTCAGAACCCTAAAAACCAACACATCTCACTTATAATTATCTATTAAAAACCTATTAAACGAATACAAACCCTTTCCAAGTGAGCTGCCTCTTACCCAAATTGCATCTGCAATACGTTCCTTCAGGATCCTGTTGATATCCCAGCTGAGAATACAACATTCTGATGAATCATCAATCTCCCATTTGTTGAGCTTTGAACTTGTTAGCATATAAAAGCTTGACCTCTCTTTATCCCAAAGAACACTAGAAATCTGCATTTAAAAAAGGAAAAGCTAAAAAGGTTAAAGCACAGCCTTAATATCTGGATACAACAAAGTACACCACACTCCACAAAAAACCTAATCACTTCCTTGGGCAATCTACATGAGTTACATTACAAGATGAGAGCAGTGATGATAATTTCCAAGAAAAGTCTTATTTTATAGATGTAAGAACATCGACAGTATGTCTCTCATACTTCCTTACAACTTTTGTGGAGTTCACTGACTCAACCCAATCACCAACCCTTGGCAACCCTAAATCAGAAAAGTAAAGTTACTACCTGAAGAAGCCTGCAGTAACCTGTAACGAGGCTAATTACTAGAAAGAGGCAAGACTTTGAATCACTGCATATTCCCCAGGAAGTATTACTACTTTAAATTCTCCTTTTATTCAGATCCAAAGAGTGAGTCAACATTCCCCTTTAGAAAGCATACAGATTTATTTGGTTTCTGTCTTTCTGCCAAATTTCAAAGAAATATGTGACGCACGAGTTGATTTTTGCCTCTTTTTTCTCATCAAACACCCTTACACAGTCTTTTTCCTTTCTTAAACACTAAGGTTAGAAATTACACAGAGAAATGAAACCAGGTTAACATATGAATGTTTTTCAAGCTTACCACAGCGTCGAGTCCAGGAGACAATATACCCAGGAGAGACGAAATCTTTCTACCAATTCCAGAAAACATGCCCTGACCCTGTGGCAAGGCATGCTGATGAATCTTGCCAGACCTATCTGGTATCAGTCGAACCAGCTGTCCTCTGGAAGATGATAAAATAAAGCTTCCTCCCTAAGAAAAGGAAAAAGCAACCATATTAAACAAATAAAAATCACATTCCTGAAACAATTGTATTGCGAGATAAAATTCCTTATGTCAGCTTCTAAGGGCAAATACTAAACAAGAACAAGACGTAAGGCATCCATACTACTTGAAAGCTAACAGAGAAAAACGAAAGCATTTATAACATGACAACTGTTTAAGTAATTTTTCCAGATTATTCCATATGTTTGAATCAGTGCAGTATATTTCCCGCAGTGTACTTTTTTTAAAGCTTGAAACCGTGTTTTTGAAAAATTTGAAAAGAAAAAAATATTTAAACGACCTCTACAGGCACTACTACGTGTAACTTTCACGTCCTGAATTACGAATTAGCTAACATTCAGCTTCCGTGTGCACCTTTAAAACTTGAAGTGTTATTAAGCACACTAACTTTTTTTTGGTTTTTTTTTAATAGCATTATATCCTACAGGACACTAATCTAAATTAACTGCGTAACAAATCTTCCATCTGGTTATGTCAAAAAAGACGGGTCAGTAAAGAAAAAATTACTAGTACATTAGTGAATGTATAACTGAGAAAAGACCAGGAAAAGAAACAATATGCAGATACAAAAAGAAGTTAATTTCTGTTGTTTTTTTCTGGTTGGTTTGGGGTTTTTAGGGCATCTTTGATTTTTTTTTTTTTTTAAAGAAATAGCAAACATTAGCACTAAGTCAAACACCTGACTGGTACTTAAGCACTGGCAGAGACTCATTTTCGTATCACTGCATGACGTTTTTATCCATGAAACCGTGTTTCCATTTAACAACAGAACTAAATCCTCATGTAACCCTAATGATGAAAAGTAATGCTACCTTTGCACTAGAAAGAAAACTCGAAAAGCCTTGTCCATTATGGAAAACATGCACTCCGTTGGAGGATGCATCTCATTTAGGAGGCAGAGACTTCTGCTAGTCAATCTCTTGCCTGTCCTAATGGATGCACCTACACTAGCACTTTAATTAGCATCAAGGGTCTGCAAAGCGGCCTCGTAGTGGCAGCACATCAGTACTAGCCTGTTTGCTCTGCAGATTCTCAACTGTTGCCTTTCACTGCTTGGTAACACAGGCAGAGCCTTTGTGCCCCCTACCGCCAAGGCATTAAAAAAACAGTGCATTCAATTCAAAACTGATCAAAGTTCATTCATTTGGTGATTTTTTTTTTTTTTTTTAAAAAGAGAGAATGCTACAGGCCTGGAGGTTGCTGAATGAACTCTCTACCTGTATAAGGAACACTCACAGAATAAAATTAAAGCTAACCAACTAAACAAAAAAAACTAGTACCATTTTCATGATCATGCTACCTAAAAATTTTGCTAAAGTTAGATCTTCCCAGCGACAGGATGACTAATTAAGTACAGTTGTCATATACGTTAATAATGCAGTTTTAGAACATTGATTAATGAAAGGGTTCTGTTGGGGGGGAGCGGCAATTAAAAATGTTCCTTTAGCTGTGAATTCACACTGATGTCAATGTTTCAACCACAGGTGTGGTTAAGACCTGACTTTTCTCATCTTGATATCTGAAACTTGGGTACAATTAAACTCTAATATTAGTGTTTCTTAATATCTTGAAATTCCTAAGAAATTAGTCATTAGGATCACTGCCTTCTGATTAGGTTTACAAATGTTTATGACATGCTGATGCCCTAAAATAATATTTATAGTACAGATATGAACAGTAGACGTTGAAAAGGTCATGAGAAAATGTAACTTAATTGATAGTAACTAGTTTTTAAGATAACACATATTTTAACACGCACTGATTTTTTTGATATATTCCATGTTGAGATTTTTCCCCACTTAGGCACATCAGCAGCAGAAAACAGAATTTCTAAGAACAACTCATAATATATTTGTTCATTACCCGGCTACAGAAATCTCTCAAATTCAGTCACGAGTGAGCTATACCACAAGAAGCTGAGTGTGTGGTCTGCGGATTCAGAGGAAATAGTTCTCTGGTTTTGTGACAGCAGGGCTTCTACCTCCAGAAGCAATCCCAGCACTAAAACTGACAATTCCTTGTACCTCAAGGTGCCAGATCAGTCCTATTAACCTTGTGGCTGAATCCTGCATGCTTTCTCAACTTTAATATTATTATTGAGGGCTACCTGTCACCTCTGCTACTTCAGATCATCACGCTCATCAACAGCCTCTGAAATTACACCTCAGAACGTCTGACGCTTTGCAACACCTACTGGAGGTTAAGGACTGGAAATGTGGAGCATGATTTTTCATTAGGAATTAAAGCAATATTTTAATAGAAATCACACTGTACCTTTACTGCTGTTAGGAAACTGCACAGAGAGTCTCCAAAGTCTGTAAAAGTCTCCATATAGGAACCCTCGTGGGCGAGATTGGGCCAGTAGCGCACAGAACCTTCGCTGGTAGCAACCATTACTGCCAGAGACTTGAAGTGAGAAAATAATTAACAGAACATGCAAGACAATAATAATCGGACTGCAGCTTTAACGAAAACATGTTATTTTACATGTAAAGACTGTGGGTGATACACACACACAAAAGAAGTTGTAAATACATACGGTTGCACACTGACAAACCTAGAACTGAATTGCAAAACGGTTCTGCAGCATAACTGAATACCTGCAGGGAGTGTTGTACTCACTTATTTTGCTAACAATACTATTTTCTGCTGGTTCTGGTTCCTGGTAATTCAGGGTCTGCTATTGAAATGCAAACAAAACTTACAGTAGCAAGACAGAAAACGGCCTGTGGAGAATTCCAGATGCCAAGAGTTAAAAGCGACTATGGAAGACTTGAAATGCAGACTATAATTTAATAAAGAAACTGTTCTAGTGTCATGAACAGAAATACCAAGTCACATAGTGTCTCTTCTCTTCATAAAGGCATAAGTCCACAGTGTGCCTACAGTAGGGCTTCTGACTTGGGAAATCACTCAGAAACCAAATTCAAAGCATGAAGCAAGAGACTGTGATCAAGCAGAGATCTAGACAGAAAGCACTGTACCTAATCCAGTGGCTGCTGAAAAAAGCTTACAGAACAACAGAAGAACTGTAGCTGAGAGCTGTTATTGAGCTCCTTGGAAGTTTCTAATTGATATTTGACTAGACACAGATCTTCACAAAGGAAAGCAGTTGGCTAATGAACAACAAATTAAAAAAGTACCATAGAACGCATTGTCCTTTGAGACTCCTACCTATTATTTAATAATTTTCATTTCAGTGAAATATTTTCTACCACTAATATTTCTACTTCACTCTATGAAATGATAGTATCCATGCACAGCTCACAAGCTGAAGAAAGCTGAAATAAACCCTAAGGAAAAAGTCTTTGTTTAGGCATATTACTTCCTCTTAAACTTCTTCGGGTATAACTAAGTCATAGATCATTTAGAGTTTTATGAGCTGATCACAAAATATTAAGATTGCTTTTCATCAGCTAGGAGCATAACACAACAAGTCAAAAGAAAAGATCCTATTACATAATCTGTGCTGCTTCTTCCTTCCAAAGACAACTGCTTATCCAGTTTTATTAGAGTACCACGCACATTAACTGAAAACTACACCCAACTGAAGATGAGAGCTTCTTTTCATGAATGATAGTAGAAGACACATTAACATACTTTCAGAAACCTTAACTGGTCTTCAAACCTCTCCCTCCAGCACAGTATGTTAGGAAAAGGCACTTAGGAAAGTAATTGGTCCAGACAGATGAAGCCATCTGTCCTCCCAGTGCCAGCTTCCTTAAAAAGACCAGCCAAGGGAGGGTGCTGGTGATTGCTTCTCATCCATGTGTACTCAGAATTAAACCACTGCTGAACTTTTTCAGCCAGCATGTATTTAAATTGCACTTGCTCAGACTGAATATTCAATTGCTCTGTAACACAATATATAATAATCTTAAAAAATACAGTTTACCGTATTTTTGTTTGCTATGAAAGCACGCCAAGTCATTTTTTAGAAAAACTATTATGTAATCTGACCCCATAACAAGTAAATGGAGTAATTCGAAAAGACTAGCAGAATTTTGTTTTAAACATTCATTGCAAACTATCAATCCTGACCTTTTGAAACACCAAATGTAGTTTTCAAGTACTTCATAAAACAAGATATATTCAAAGTCGCTCTAGAAGTATTTTTAATCACTAAAATTTAGAAGTTGATCACCTGCAGAGAAGGCACGTCACGTGTAGAACTGAGACAAGTTATAGCTGCTAAATGAGAACTCCACTGGAAGTTGCTGGGTGGCAGCTGCAGTTCCTTGCACAGAGATAACTGTAAGAAAGAAAGGGATGCCAGAATAAATATGAGACTGGAAGAGCTTACTCCTCTGCCACAGTGTCTTTAGACTTTTTAGCCTTAATTTTCAACTGGGAACCAAAAGAGAGTCACAAGACATTTTCAGCAAGGTCATCACAACCAGCCAACAGCTAAAACACACCTACTAGTACATTTGTTTTTCTTCAGCTATTTCTGAGTGTTTCTGACAATACTACTGTAGTGAATTATTTCTTTCAGAGGTGCAATTACCTGACCATTCCTTAATACAATATTCTAACAAGGCAGCAAAACAAAATTAAACGAGAAGTGCTTGACAAAGCTCACTCTGTTAGTAAGTGGAGCGGGGAAACACTCCTCCCTCCTAAAGTTAAACCACCAAAAAATTGTAACCCTTTGAAAAATCTCTGCAAGTACCAGAATGGGTATACCTGACACTCCACTGTAAGTGCAGAATCTGTGTAATTACTGTACATTGCACTAATTGATAGATACTGACTGTGTAACTACAGGTTTCCTCTGACCATACTTGATATTCACTGAAATGATGCTGAAAGAAACACTGCCCAGAGGGGGAAAAACCCAAAACCTTGGCATAAGAAACCTAGATTAAACATGTTCAGCACAACTTAAACTAACCTTTTCTGGCAAGTTGAAAATCTGTCCCAGAATAATCTAAACCAATCTCTGTAACACATCAATTAGTTTTTAACAATTAAAATAAGCTTTATCAGGACTACCTAACATAAGAGACAAACCTATTAAAATGCAAAGAATTAACCTAAGTGTTAAAGTGACAATTATGAATTAAGAGAGGAATATAAAAATGTTAATCTCCCTCAAAAGCTTGAGTTTCAACTACTGTTGTTACTATGACTCCATACCAAACCCACTGCTTTTTGGGGAAACCAGACAAACTCAATTTCATAAAGAAACTCGTGCTTTAAAAAAGCACAGCTGAATAACTTGTCCAACTAGTGGGAAATACAGAAGTTTTTCCATAGTTACCTTAGCTACTGGAGACTGACCAATCCTCCAAATAATCAGCCTCTCTTTATGGACTAGCCACGCCCATCCACTTTCATCCACTTGAACACTCAGCTGGTCATCAGCTACATAAAAAGTAAATTTTTTTTTAAAGCACTTATATTTTTAAGTCACTGCAGAGTAACCTTAAAACCAATGAACTTTCATTCTCATATGAAAATAAGAAAGGTATTTTCCATTAAATTAAACTTCACATTAGAATTTCCATGTATTTTATTTTGGCAACAAATTACAATATATAGTTTAAAAATCCATTTCACAAACACTCAGCTTTTGAGAGTGAAAGGCAAGACAACCTTAGAAGCTATTTCCATCAATTTACAGCAGATTATAATAGCTTCGTAAACTGCTCAGCAATTTTTAAGATTACTTTTAAGACAGACATTTTTGGTTCCTCTTATATCTACTATAAAAAGAAAACTAAGCCACAGGGAAAAACTGCGTAGGGGACCTATTTCCTGAACTCGGGGAATGGTTGGTATCACTGGGGCTTTTAGAACTGACAACAAATTTGGATTAAAAATAAATTTAAAAAAAATTAGAGCATCCACTCTAGGACACAACAGAACCAAAACAAGTGAAAAAGGTGAGAAAGAGCCAGTAAGCAAAAGTGACTAAAAAACTACAGCTGGCTTTCTTTATAACCTTGGATTTTATGATATATTGGTTAAGACAGCACCTGAAGGAAAATTAGACATCCAGACCCATATGGGTGTTACTACAATCACAGTTAACCAAGGTGGATTCAAACCAAGACACAAACATTTCAGTTTCCACTGTAAAGTCAGTATTTAAATGACATCAACAACACATCAACACTTCTCTCACCTGACAATTTTCATGAGAAAAATGACAGACAAATTCAGTTCTTACCATCAGCTTTCTTCAGGGCTTCCATAACCTTAACAGGCAGAGAGGATCCAAAAGCCTTAACATCATAGTTAATAGTCTCACTCGCTGAGGGATGCTGGATAAGTCTGGTAAGAGTTGCTCTTAAACAAAACAAAGAGTTATTGTTAGTTTTTACTGGTTCTTTGTCAGTTTCAACAGACATTTACTTCACCATCCCAATCCCAGACACAAGTACAGGCTAGCTGGAGAACAGATCAAGAGCAGCCCTGAGAAGGAGGACTTGGGGTACTGGTGGATGAAAGCTGGACATGAGCCGGCAGTGTGTGCTGGCAGCCCAGAAAGCCAACTGTATCCTGGGCTGTATAAGGAGGAGTGTGGCCAGCAGGTCAAGGGAGGGGATTCCCCCCCTCTACTCTGCTCATGTGAGACCCTACGTGGAGTGCTGCATCCAGCAGTGGAACCCACAACATAAGAAGGATATAGACCGGCTGGAGCGAGTCCAGAGGAGGCCACGAAGATGCTCAGAGGGCTGGAGCACCTCTGCTATGGGGACAGGCTGAGAGAGTTGGGCTTGTTCAGCCTGGAGAAGGCTCCGGGGAGACCTTATTGCAGCCTTCCAGTACCTGAAG